TTGGTCAAATTGGTGGGAGTTGAATGTGAGTGTGAAATGCCTCCTGAGGGCTGAAGATGGTCCATTTTCTTCACTGCCATGACTGGGACAGCCTGCCTGGGTCTCTGTTCCTGGCCATTGCAGGAGCCCAGTGAAGTCTTCCTGCCCTTGAGAAGGTCTTAGACTCTGCCATGGTTGAGGTGCCTTCTCCAGCCAGATGTGTTTTCTGGGCTTCTCTCTCTTTTTTTTAATATTTATTTTATTTATTATTATTAATATTATTATTTTTAGTTTGATCAGAGAAAGACAGAGGGTGAGAGAGAGAGGAAGTGAGAAAGAAGCCACCAGATTCAGGACTTGAACCCCAGTCGGCCATGTGGGAGTGTCCAGCACCTTAATCACCACGCCACCTGCTGGTCCCGTCTGGGCTTCTCTAATGGTGGCCTTTGGAGGCCACACTCTGCCATAAGAGAAGGTGGTGACTAACTGTTCCCATGTTCCATTTTCTGTTTTGCTTCATTTTTCTGATACGAGGGTAATGATATAGTTTAAGGAGTGATATAAATAGTAGACCAGATGGACAAGTGTGTGGGAGGGTGCTCTTTGACCAACCCCACAAGAGGTTCAGGCCAAATCTTTTTATGGCATATTTCTTGTAACCTAGAAAGAGCTCACTTAAGGTTTTAGTGAGAAAGGGTTAGACCGAGTTCACTTCAAGAAAAAAAAAAGAAATCTTGCTTAGAAATGTGTCATTTCAGCTCATTTGCCCATCTTTTGAGTTGATTATCTTTTTTCAGATAAACTGCTTGAGTTCCCTGAGTATCCTGGGAACACCCCTTATGTGAGGCATAGTTTGCAAATGTATTCTCCCATTCTGAGGGTTGTCGATTCACTCTAATTATTGTTTCTTCTGTTGAGTAGCTTTTTTTTTTTTTTTTTGAGAGAGATTTTTGCTATAGGGCCTGTGTACTCGCCAGAAAGAGAGAGAGAGACAGAGAGACTGAAATCACCCTCTCCCCTAAGGGAGGATGGCCACACTTCAATCCCTTCTCCTCCATTCTCCTCTTGAGATCTTGGGCACACATGCACATGCACCTGGTGTGAGTTTAAGCCACCGGGTCCGGGACTCAAACAGCGGCTGACTACATGGGAGTTCAGAGACATAGCCGTTATGCCAACTGCTGGTCCCATCCCCATAAGTTCTTTATTTTATTTATTTATTTATTTATTTATTTTGAGAGGTTTTATGCTATAGGGCACTTGCGCTTGCCAGTCAGACAGAGAGAGACAGAGAGACAGAAAGCGAGAAATCACCCCCCAGGGGGGATGGTCACGCCGCAATCCCTTCTCCTCCATTCTCCTCTCGGGATCTTGGGCACGCACGCACACACGCCCGGCGTGAGTTCTAAGCCACTGGGTCCGGGACACGAACCGCGGTCGACTACGTGGGAATCCAGTGACATAGCCATAACGTAACTGCTGGTTCCCCTGTTGAGTAGCTTTTTAACCTGATGTAATCCCACTTTATTTCTGGGATGACTGCCTGTGCTTTGGGGGGTCTTTCTTACTTGTCTTTGACTACGCTGGTATCTCCAAGAGTTTCCCTTGTGTTTTCCATCAGTAGTATTACAGTTTGAGGTCTTAGGTTTAGATCTTTGCTCCATTTTGAGTTGATTTTTGTTGGTGAGCGATACGGGTCCAGTTTCATCTTTCTGCAGGTGGATACTCAGTTTTTCCAGCACCGTTTATAGACTGAATGTCTGCACTTTACGGTGAAAATGGAAAGATTAGAAGGTATAAAAGCATGGAGAACGGCCCTGGGTACTGGAGACAGTGTGGGAGGAGGGTGGGGAGTGGGGAGGGTGAGAGGGAAGGAAACAAGGGCAAAAAGAAAGAAAACATAAGGGACACAAACATGAAAAATTATCTGTTGATACTGTGTGTGGTAATATCTTTAGACTAATATATAGCACATTCATGCTGGGGAAATTCATTTTGTATGCTATAATAATATACTCTGATTGAATGTAAAAAATTAAATAAAAAAAAATTGGGCTGGGACTAGCAGATAGCATAATAGCTACGTTGCTGGATTCTCATGTAGTCAACTGCAGTTCGAGTCCTGGACTGGGTGGCTTAAACTCACGCCGGGTGCTTGTGCGCGTGTGCTCAAGATCCTGAGAGGAGAATGGAGGAGAAGGGATTGCATCATGGCCATCCCCCCCCCCCCCCGGGGGGGGGGGGGGGTGTGATTTCTCGCTTTCTGTCTCTCTGTCTCTCTATCTTTCTGGCGATCGCACAAGCCCTATAGCAAAAAACCTCTCAAAAAAAAAAAAAAAAAGAAAAGAAAAGAAAAGAAAGAAACCTAGGGA